TATGTATTTTCTACAAATTGAGTCCAAGCAAAAAGTCGTCAACATGTTTTTATGACTAATAGTAAAGGTTAGTGTTTTATTGTCAACTTACGATTAGTTATATCGTCCAGTTTCTTCTATTCCTTGCTCTCTTCGGTTCTTTTCACTGGGTTATTAATACTCCAGATTTCATTCAGCTTATTTCTGCAACACAGTATAAATCGTCTGATCAGTTGTATTCCAAATCAGTGCCTAAAATTTGCCCTATGTTCTACTTTAGTGTCACAGTGGTATCAGAGCTCTTCATGATACATCAGCAGGGATCGCTAGCTCTGCGCTGACGTCTGTTTCCTTATAAAGTCGCTAGAAAAACTATCAATATTGGATCATATATTCATAAGTGAATACGTGTTTCACATATGATTAAATCCCCTCTAGATGTGACGCATTATTACTTCTGATAGCGCACGTTTTCTCAAGCTCTTTATTAAATTTATGGCATGAATAATTCTCCAAGCAGACAACGACATCCATAATCATTGAATTTATCACAAGTAGGGTAATTTAATTCATGCTGCACTTTTGTTTGTGTTCGTAGTTATTCACTTATGTATTACAGTTTCGAGGGTGTTACGTCATAGCCGCCATCTTGGTTGACGATAACAAAGCATTCCTCATTAGCTTCTCTTGTTATATCAACCAACATGGCGGCTGTTTCGTTGTTATTCATATCTCAAGGGATTTGGAGTCATCTGAATGCACCCTAAGGATAAGCTTTATACGAGGTTCACTCTATATGTTATAAGTTTCTTTTCTTGGTTGGAATCTAGAATCACCCTACCTGCATGTAGAGGGGGTCACGTGACATACGTACCTTCCGCGCCTAGTGATTACTGTCAACCGCTGGCCCTGGTGTTTGACAGCTCCTGCATGGAAGTACTGTAACTCTGTTGAATGATAGACTTAAAACGAATGAAAAACAAAGAACGAAAACGATTCGAGGCAAGAAAAAAGATCATTAACTTGTCTGTGAATAACAAGAATAACACTGCTAAGTGCTTCCGACCCATCTTTTTATTGCTGATGAATAACACATTAACAAAATGCCTAGTCGTGCTCTCTGCCATGCCTTCCGAGCCATAAAGTTAAAAAAAGCTATGAAATATTCATCCTGGTTATCGTTTACAACGAGAGATAATTGATTTTAGCTGTTTAATCTCTTTATTATTATAATCACTACTTAGAATGGGCGATTGTATCGTTTTTTATCGTATGTAATCGAGAAAGCAAAAACTAAAGCTGAACCAAATGCTACATAATGAACTAAGCAAGTGGGCTTTGAAAATGTTATTATAATATCTCTCTAACCCAACCCCTCCCCCTACCTCAAATCTGAGTTTTGAATCACGAGCGTAAAGGTTGTCATAGTGAAACCGTCGACATACGCACGACGCCGCGTGTCTTTTAACAAGTCCATTGAAGAAGAAAAATGTACTTAGTCGTATTGCAACAAAAGCTTCAGTTTTACGACAAGAAAAAAATGAAACAGTTGGAAAAAAACTAGGGCGCTTGGATGAAAACATGGGATTAGAAAGAAAATGATTGAGAGAATTATTGGGGCATYAAAAAGATGGGAGGGAAAGGTGAGGAGGGAAGAGAAGAGAGGAGAGTGCATGGGGGTTGGGGATTTTCCCAGACATTTTTAATAGTACGCAAGTCTCCTGACTATCACTCATAACAACACCCAATTATACTGCTATCTGTTGTCTATTTATTTCCTGACAGACTCCGTTAATAATCTGACTCGTTCTATATCTACAATATTTATACAATTGCTTTTTTTTTTGAACCCGCGGAAGTCATTTTTCCATTTGATTGACGTCACACTATAAAACTCTATAGAATTGTTTCTTTATCATAATTGGTTTTTTAAAAAAAAAAGTCAGGAAAATTAATTCCAACTAAGGGAGGTCTATATACAACCGAGTAAAGAACTGATCGATCAACAGATCAATTAACTAGACAGTTTTTAAATATTTTTCTATTTGTATACTTCACGGCCGCCATTTTGTTTGAATCTATCAAAAGAGTTAACTTTAGTTCAATGTTAGATCAACCAACATGGTTGCTATTCACCACCTTTTATACATCAGTTCATTAGTCAAACACAAAGCCTTCAACCGAGTCCACAAGAGTTCAAATTTGGATAAACCTTTAAAACTACTTTGCCACCTGCAAAGGTGGTGAATGGTATGTTATTTCCATCTCTTGAGCATGACTGCTAACCGGGAACGATCTATTAGTTAGTAGCCATTCTGTGGTTGAGGAAACAAACTGAGTCCAGTTGACATTGCAGTGGTTTGTGAGACTGTTTTTAGAGGACAAATAGACGCCATCTTGAAAACATGCCACTTAATTCCCACAATGCTCTGCAGTGCCAACTCGACCCAGTTTTTTTCTTGACCACAGAATGACTAATAGTGATTCAATCTTACGTACCAAGGAGAAAGAAAGACAAATAACGAACCCAATCCGCAAGATAACCTTACTCTAGAGCCTGACTCTTCGAACGCCAGGTTTGGGAGTGGTCGGAAAATTAAACGGCAATGTGACGTCATCTGGTAATTCAGATTTTTTTCTGAATAAGACAGTACGATGCTACGCCATGTCTTACTCAATACCTGTCGTACGTTATCACGGAGAAAACCTTCCGATCATACGAAAACCTTTTTCAACGGGATTCATTTTAAGTGTTGTATAAATCTTGAAGTGGTCACTCACATTGGTTCGTTTTCGCAGGATGAATTTTTTACCGTGAAGAAACTGCTAAGTCACAGATTGTACCGTAAAGCAACCGCTAAGCTGATCTGTATTAGCTAACTCACAGATCTCAGCCAATAAAAGGTGTATGTTTTTACCTAGTCACTAGCACACATGCCTGTATAACCACCCTCCAACGGCAACAGACCATTTACATTATTAGCCCCACAGCAGCAGCTTTTCTCACATTTCGGATAACACGCGCTTGAGCACGGCGCAGGACAAACAGGTGGAGGTCGAGGAATAAGTACGATTACCTCAGGAGGTTTGAACGGAACTGGAGAAGCAGAACAACAGCTTGTGGTACACTGAGGGAAGCAGGATGGAGAACATGGTGGCGGGCACTGAGGGTTTGGTGAGTTTGGAGGTCCGACCATAGGCTGTAACTGCGGAGAATTTGGGACAGGGGGTCCAATGATGGGATGGAAAGCCTGAGGCATACCTGGTGTTACAGCCCCAGGGTTCAATGGTTTAGGGCCGTTGTATGGGAAGACCTGTGGCTGAGCAACTGGTAGTGGTGGTACTTGTGTGAGGCAGCAGTTTGGTGTGCACTTTGGGTAGCAGGCTTGAGAATTGACACATGGTGCAGGGCAAGTAGGAGCGGCTGGGATGGGTGGAGGCGGTGGTGGAGGAGTAACCCGTTGGAAGCAGCAGCCTGGATTGCACTGAGGATAACACGTGGCTGGACAAGCAGCAGGGCATGCGGGTGGAGGTAGTACAAGAGACTGTTGTGGTGGTGCTTGATATGGCATACTAAAGGCTGGTTGGTAGATGGGTGCTGGAGCGAAACTCTGTACTTGAGGCGGAGAAAGCGCTGAACAGCACGAAGGCGAACACGATGGGTAACATCGTTTGGAGCAAAATCTTCCACAGTATGGACCAATGAATCCTCTATTTTGCAGAGGCATTAACCTGGCAGAGTTTCGTGGCATAAAGCTATTGAACTGTTTCTGTCCAAGTGGTGCTAGTGCAGGACGATTAGCATAAAATCTCGTGTCTGGTCTTCTGAAAGGAGGTAAAATTTGTGTCGTCGTTGCATGGTATAAAGGCTGGGGTCTTGGATTACAACACGAATACGAACATGTTGGAAAGCACCATTTCGGACAACCTGGCCTTGAGCATCGGCGTGACACAGGGAGTGAGCTGGGTCGAGAGTAAAGAACCCGTGGGGGTGGTACAGGGGCATATTGTGGATTAGGTGGTTGGTTGGATAGTCCACAGCATGCCGGTGAACAGTTTGGATAGCAGGACTTTGGGCAGTAAGATGCGCAGTTTGATGGTTGTGATGGAGGCAAAGGAGCTGGATGAGGATGAGGCACGCAACACGCGAAGTCGCAGTCCGGAGTACAGAGCTTCTGACATGATGTCATACAATTTGCTGGAAAATACAACATCAAACTCGCTCGTTACTTTCCTTCTCATTTTAAAGTTTATACGAGTTTTCTCGTTGCCTCTCAAGACACCTGTTGAAGCTAATTCGACTTGTTCGGATAGAGATGGTCAAACAAGATGACTCTAAGCGATGCGTGTGTTGGTAAAAAAGAAAATGTTGTTCAAACTCGGTTGGATAGGACTTGACATATTTATTTCGAGTGAATCACAGACTGAAGTGTAAAGGTAAAGAGGTAAAGTAACTCCAGTGGTGTATGCGTCTCCATTTTTGTCTAAAAACAATGTTTTGTTTCTGAAACTATAATATTTATTATCATATATCATTTTATTGTTGCCTAATTTTTATTATTTTCAATTAAAATATTACGGGCCCATGAGTGAGGTTAGGAATCATAAATTGATGACATTGGACAATCGACCCTTTAGATGACGCAAGAAATTGTCTCGTGCAGGGAAAATCAAAAATAGATCAATCAATGGGCTCATGATCCCAGAACATAGATTACAAGTATCTTGTTATAGTTTGTACTTACAGTTGCCCGGTAGGTTATCTAGCATCGATGGAGCCACAGGTATGAACTGTCTCTTGCTTGATTTACTAGAATGATGATGTTCTGAAAACGTTAAAGGCAAAAGGTTTTTTAAAACGAAAAATTAAAATGCTTCACCTTTCTACAAAATCCCCCCCCCCCCTTCAATAGCTAGTATAACTACCAATTGGTCTATCGGTCGGATTGTAAGGGTAGGAGTCCTGGTAAACACCCCCTCGCTGTCACGCTAGTTGCTGTGACGAAATCTATTGTCACTTTTATGCAACAAAAAATCGATTCGCTGATGAAACAATGCAACTTGTTAAGATCAATTGTGATAATGGTTGGCAAAGTAACATAGTAATGCGGTTTGTAAACAGCAACTAGCACTATTACGGCCGGTTGATTAATTGATCGCATCGTAAAGGTCTAGTAATAGGTCACTGGATTAACCCTGGTATTGCGACCGCTCGGTATAATAATGGTATGTTTACCCTTCGTCTTGTGATGGTCCTTATGCTTCGCTCCATGTTTACTCTTTGCTACAGCAAACACAACCAATTCGGTGACTAAACACACCAGCAAAAAGAATTTACTCTGTGAAATAAAAACTTAACGTCACTATGAACCGGCCATTACAGTTTGCAGAGGCCGCGCTCGTTTTGGTCTACACCAAGAAATAAAGAAATCTGGGCGAATCTGATTGGCTTTTCTGATTGGTTAATTGGGACTGATCCTAGTTCTTAGAATTCCCCAGAATCCTTCGTTTCTTGTTTGTCCGAGACCAAAATGGACGTGGGTCTGGAAACGAGTCATCACCGCAACATGTCAGTCTTCAACATCATAATTTACTACTGCGCATGCTCAAGCAACTCGTCTTGGAGCATGCGCAGTTACAAATAATAGATCTCCGAGACATGATTGAAAATGTAATGAGAAAAGGGTAGTAAATTTTACACCGTGAAAAGATGAAAAAACTGACTTTTCGGACGCTAGTCGGAGTAAAAGAGAAAGAGGTGGTAGAAAGGAGTGATTATATACTGAGAACAAGACAAAAGAAACCAATGTTATAGACCAAGCCATTCGCAAAGTTTCTAGCATTGATCGTACCACCACTCTCACTCGTCCCTCTAATGACCGCATTCCTTTCACTCTTACGTATCATCCTATTAATAACTCCATTAAATCCACTTCTGCTATTTTCAACAACCGCCCTCTTTTTTTCTCATAAACGTGATCGCAATTTTCGTTCTTTCTTAGCACGTCAAGGGAGTTCTTCCCTCTGACAAAGAACCTGGTACTTTACGCTGTTCTCGTAAACGTTGTTATACTTGTCCTCACATAGCCTCTCACACTTCTGTTATCGGTCCTAAATCCACTGTTAAAATCACTGACCATTTTGTTCATACCACTTCTAATGTTCTATATTGTATCAAATGTACTCTCTGTAATCTTTTGTATGTGGGCGAGACTGGCCGCCGTCTTGGTGATCGCATTTGCAATCATCTTTATGATATTCGCAATAACGATCCCACSAAACCAGTTTYCCGCCATTTYAATCTAGCTAACCATTCTCTTTCTGACTTCATTGTTTTCGGTCTTTCTTTGATTAACGGCAATAATGATTGTCGCAAGACCAAAGAAATGCGGATACTTTTTTTACGCAAGAAGCTTTGATAAGCTTTTAAGTTAGATTAAGAGCCTTAAGTAAACAGCTGTTTGATCTAAAAGGCATTTTAGGAGATAAAAGCATATGAATTTAAGCATTTGGGGGTCGACTTGTGACCCATTATAAAAGCGATTCAAATTCACCTGCTAAACTCAAGAGGTAACTTAAAAAAGGTCATATGATTTCAGATGAATTACAAATTAGAAGACTTTTAAGCCTCTTCTCCTTTTTCTTCCAGACATTTGTCTTTTTCCGCGAGCCGGTTGAGCCGATCTATGACAAATTTTATTCAAAAGTATTCTTATGGGTTTTTAATCTCAGTGAAGAATAGACACAACGAAAGCATAAACATTTTGGACTGACAGATATCTTTCATCGTCATAAATAAAATATGTCCAGCAAAAGTCAACAAAAAATATAGAAAATTTGAAATTGGATTTCAAAAAGGGCAATCCAAATTCATATTTTCCCATCACAGAAAACGTTTTCTAGCTTAACGATACTACTGAATTTGTAACCTTTATTTCTGATATTATAATATAATAGAATTTTCTGGTAAACTGCTCGCTATTGAGTTTTTTAACTGACTTATTTGAAGTTAACTGAAGCGTTTTATTTCGAAGACAAATAAAACTTCAACTCACTTATATAAAACGTGAAAAACATAAAAAGAAAGAGCAGAACTTTACATACCTTCATGTTATTGTGTAAGGTAGGCGTTAGCCAATACTTTAGATCATATGGTACAGCCGGCGCTTATCGGAGCAAGGTGCCCCCAACAGGCAGGCAACACAGACGATACAGCGATGCAGTGTGAAAATTCAATGACGACTTGGTTGGAAATTAAACATTACAGGCTGAATGGTGACACTATGAACAATACTGGACCAGGTATTTACCTGTTCATTGATCACGCCTTTGAGTCAACCACAAGCAGATGGAGTTAATCTAATTATGATATTTATACTTACAACTTCATTTTATTCTTTGCATCTTAAGTTAACAAAATAAAAGTAAACTTACTCTACTGGTTTACGAGTTGGACACTAACACCACCCCAATCCCTCTCGGATGTTTTTTGAACGTCCTGCGCATTGATTTGCTTGACACTTTTATARGTTGCTATCAATAGACGTCACTTCCGGTAATAGCTCTTTTTTGATGGYTTGCAGAATCCTGGAGGTTGTTTTGATCTCTTGTTTTCTGGTTTCATGTCGTGAAAATAGTCAGATACAATAGTTTGAGGACTTATTTTGACATCCGCTAGTTGTCCCTCAGTCAACCGCTTGATTGCCCCCCAGTCAACTCCAAAAAGTCACGTGATTGATAGTAAGCAATAGAAGGTATACAAGACTGCAAAAATAATGGAAAACCGATCACGTGATTGGACTTTTAAAAAACAGCTTTGTAACCGTGTCCAGCGTACTGCTTTTAGAATGGCTTTGTAACCACCTGATTGTGCTCGTGATTGGAGCAACAAATCATATGTTCTCTTGATTGGAGTTGATTTTAGAACTTATTTTTAACAGCATTTTTTACACAAATAATAACAATTATAATAACAGTAAAAGAAAAGTTTTAAGTGCAAATTGAAATAAATGAAACTTATCAATTTTGTCTTACGATTAAGGGTCATTTGAAATAAATCTTGGTTACACCTGAAAATCTGTCGGTCGCAGATCTGAAATCAGACCAAGTAACACGCTGCAAAATGTAATTTATTTACAGCYTTATAACGTAGTTACTTGTTTAGATTGATATATTTGAAGAAGCATAACCTTGAGTTAGGAATATGATTTTTCGTATTCTAGCTAGCAAACATAAAAGCAGTTTAGTTTCAGAGCGTCTATTTGAGTAGATCTCAGGCGGCCGACAACGTTTTTTGAAATAGGCGTATACTTAACAAATATTGAACTGGTTTTCTTGTCAAGAAATCCGTATTGCAAGATAATTGCAAGACAATATCTGTTACTGAAAATCAGTGTCATATTTTTCATTCTTAGTTATGCATCGTCGTACATATGAGTGTTTGTCTTTACAACTGCGCAAATTCAAATCTTAATCTTTAATCTGCAAAGGTTGCCTCAGTTTTTTAGAACGGCTTCGTAACTCCGTGATCGTGTGTTCAAGAGTAACCACACCTAGTTATGCATCGTTGTGCATAGGAGTGCTTGTCTTTATGTGCAGTCAATTACAAAATCATTTTCAAGCACGCCGTCAATTACAAAATCATTTCCAGCTAAGAATTGTTTTAAATTTATCGTAAACACTAGGAGTATTCTCATGGCGGAATTCCATTTCAATCGACAAAATTAAGAGAAATCTACCTGTACTCAGTCCATGATAGCAAAATGCTAACCTAAAATAGTTGACCCACAATTCCTTTCGGGAAACGCTGTCAACTCAGCTGGTTTCACCCGCGCCTTGAGTCCTCTTTAGAACGGCTTTGTAGCCACCTAATTATTTATTTAAATATTTTAAAGCATTTCTTTTTATATTGTTCCTTTTTCACTTTTTTTTAATTGGACCTTATTTTTAAGGTAAAGGATTGCTATAATTAATATTAGTTAATTTTTCTTACTTCTGATTCCAAACCATTAAGACCACCATTCATTGCTGGTGTACTGTGAATGCTGTCCACAGGGAACCCATCAAGACATTAAGTTATATTACGTTTATATTAGGGATTAAATAGTAAATTATAGTCTATATCTAGTATTTTGATATTTCTGAACTACAATTTAAAATCCAGTGATTCTCAATCATGATTTCAAATATTTCTGTACGTGATGAACCGTATTAGTATAAAAATGAATGCTTTATGGAGTACGAACGGTGGCTTTTGCGAATAGTCATCTTTATCATCATCATGCATCATCATGTATTATCATCATCACCATGTATCATCATGTATCATCACGTATCATCATCATCATGTATCATCATCATCACCACATCACCACCAGTACTACCATCATCTTTATCATCATCACCCACCACCACTATCATCATCATCATGTATGATCATCATCATGATGTACCTTCACTATCATCATGTATCACCATCATCACCACATCACCACCAGCACTACCATCATCTTTATCATCATCACCCACCATCACTATCATCATGTAACATCATCATCATCATCATCATGTATGATCATCATCATGATGTATCTTCACTATCATCATGTATCACCATCATCACCACATCACCACCAGCACTACCATCATCTTTATCATCATCACCCACCATCACTATCATCATCATCATATTCTTTAATCGACCACTACCACTCATCATCATCACCGACATGAAATTTTCTAAAAAAGATATCAAGTTTTTACTCTACAGTCAGCTTCTCCACTTTCTCCTCAATCGAATGCAATGTTTCATTTTCTTCTTTTCTTTCCTTTTCTTCCCGTTTTTTCATAGCTTCTTCTAACTTGGAGCTCACGCTTTCTAAGGCCTGATCGAGGATTCTTCGCTCTGTAATGCGCAGGAGCAAACAGTTCTTGGCATTTATGTTTTGTTCCGTTGATTCGAGTTCCTTTTCGTCCTCCTAAAACAATTTGTATTTTATGCAGTCACTATTGTTTTTACATCAGTCGCTTATTTCCTCGCGGGCTTCCTGTGGTTTATTGTGCAATGCGTGCGCATGTAATATTTAAGTGTTTAAGTCAATCGTCTCCTAGATGACGTACGTATTTTGAGGGCCTTAAGTTAGACAACTCACTGGGTCATTGCGTCACCCTCTTTAAATAAAGTTTATCGTATTGTGATTTGCGCATATCCATAGTAGTAAACTGTTCAATGTGGGGCCGGTTTTCGCCAAAAAAGTGTCAGAGGAGATTTAAGGACGTAAGCGCATGCGCAGACTACCTACGAAAGGCAGCTATTCCTCGCCACGATTTGACCTCTTTACCTCGAGAGTAAAGTTTCCCCATTTCAGACCATATGTCATTCCCTAGAGTATCACTTGCTTGTCTAATGGTAGAGCATGAGAAGACACATGAATATGGAGACAATATTATTCTCAAGAGAAGGACACATGGTTTGAACATGGAAAGACATTAGAGGTCTATTGTCCCCCTCAGTCAGGGGAAGGGGATTTCAAGTGTGTGGGTGTGTGTAAATAGGAGAATATTTACCTCTATCGTTGTCTTGTATTGGCTTAATATCAAGTTCAGTCTCATGCATAAGTAGTGCCAAGACTTGAGCTCGTTTTTTTCGCTTATTACGACGTCAGGATTAGGTAGATCTGACAGCGGTAAGATCTTCTTTTTCTCTGGGTTGAACAGTCTGATCTTTAGTTCATCTGGATAATGTACAACATATTTAGTTAGTCATTTATTTTATGTTATGCAGGCAGGCAGGCAGGCAGGCAGGCAGGCAGGCAGGCAGGCAGGCAGGCAGGCAGGCAGTCAGTCAGTCAGTCAGTCAATCAGTCAGTCAGTCAGTC